TGGGGCTTGAACTCAGGGTCTGCACCTTGAGCCACTCCACCAGCCCTTTATTGTGATGGGTTTTTTTTGAGATAGGGTCTCACAAACTATTTGCCCAGGCTGGCTTCCAAACCTGATCTTCCTGATGTCTGCCTTGAGTAGCTAGGATTACAGGTGTGAGTCACCAGTACCTGGGCTTCCCTTCTTTTCTTACTACTTAGGAAGTGGAGATTGGGGGGAGCACATTTTGAGGCTATCTGGGCAATAAATTAGCAAGACCCCATCTCAACCAGTAAGCCAGGCATGGTGGTATGTGCCTGTGATTCCGTTCTTATTCTTAACATGATGTATTTAAAACCTTTTGTTAAGAAACCATATGGCCTGCAAAGCCTAAAATATTTACTGTCCAGCCCTGTATAGTAAGTCTGCTAAACACTGATCTAGATAGAGTGTGGATGGGGGAGCATGAGAAGACTAACATTTATTGAGGCCTGTTGAGTACAAGGCACTGTGCTATGTGCTTGTTTCTTCTTTACTCTAGCCTGAGAGGTTTAGTATTGTTATTTTCATTTTACCAAAGAAGAAACTTGAGTCTTGGAAAGGTAAAAAGAACTTGCTCAACAGCCCAATAACAGCTGGGATTTGAACCCAATTTGTGCCATCTTTAAAGCCAGCATTGGTATACTGTACCACCCATGTGTTTCTTTATATACTTCCTAATCTCAAGCTAACAAGCTTTTTATTTTTTTTTTTTCCAGTTTTAACCGCCTAGACCTTCCACCTTACAAGAGCTATGAGCAACTGAAGGAAAAACTGTTGTTTGCCATTGAAGAAACAGAAGGATTTGGACAAGAGTAACTTCTGAGACCTTGTACCACTGAAGGACGAGAACTTATTTTACAGTGTTTGTCCTTTTCCTTCTCTGCATATTGCACATCTTGTTATAAAATTGGACTAAACTATTCAGTTATCTGATAGTTTATCAGTTATCTGAGATTTATCTCCCAGTGATTGTAGATTTCTACTTAGTAGTTCCAGAAATCAAATCTACAAACACTAGTCAATGACTTACTTAACATGAGATTTAACACAGCAATGAAATCTGCCTTGTCTTATTCCACTAGATTGTTTCCTTAACAATTTTGTGTGTGTCAAAAGTCTCACTTGGGAGTAGGTTTTTTTTCTCTTAGAGATTCTGCAGCTATGCAGGGAAGTCTCTTGGTAACTGCAATATACAAGATCTTCTTATTAAGCCTCTTGCTAAGAGGTATTCAGTAAAAGTACAAGCTTAGCCCAGCTTCTGGACATGTGCACAAACTGCTAGCTTGTGCTCTCCCTCTCATTTCAGCCTGGCATGACTGTTGTTTTTCATTCCTGGAGCATGAATCCATGCATCATTTTGATGTTATTCCTGGGAGTGATACAAGACTCTTGAATCTCTCTCCAAAGTAGTTTTGCCTGTTTGAATTCAGGGAAAAATTGGTCCCAGTGCAAATGACTTCATATCTCTCTTCATTTGGAAATTTGATTATTTTAATTATCTGCAAATACTAACTTTACAAACGTTATCAACATTGTGGTTCCTTCACTGATGTTTTTAAAGTTAACCTAGAATTGAAATTATTTCTGCTGAATTCATTTAAGGCCATTATTGACAATTTTTGTATGATCCTATACATAAATTGAAGCTTTATAATTCCATTATAATCCAACAATTACACTCGTATTTAACTTTTGCTAAGGAGTTCAAATTGTAACTAGAGTATTTTCTATTCCAAATAGAGATCAGTGAAAGAGCCTCTCAAATAATATTTTCATTTGGGAGGGAGAGCTTTTAGCACTAGCTAGAAGAAAAGGGAAGATAACATCTAGTAACCACAGAAATGTATCCTCTGTCTGAATTAATTTGCTGGTTTCTCTGACACATGTTCGAGTAGTCATTTCCATTCTCTACATTGTCCTGAATTGAGCCAATATCTTTCATCTGTAATATTCTTTCACCTCTAAAATTTCGGCAGGCTCTCCTTTTTTTCCCTATGACAAGTTTATTTTAGACTGCTCCATTTGTAAGTGATTAATGCACTTGACTTTCTCTGTAGTTCATTAATTTAACTTGGCCTCACTTAGACTGTCAAGATGCTGCTGTTACAGATTTGACTTTATGGGCAGTGAGCTGAAACCTAAGCCACCTGAGTTTCTATCATAGCCAAACCCTGAAGACAGCTTTATAATCATATAACAGGGACTTTGGCATGTTGCAGTAGCATAGCATGAACCAATTGCATGAAGCCAAGAATACTCAAAGAGTAGCAAACCTCTGTTCCATATGAAAAGAAAATGTTTTGACATCCCTGTCCTTCCTATTTAAATCCTGAAACAACAAAAACATTTTTAAACTTGTGTATCTGGACTCTTTGACACTGCCATCTTATGCAAAGACTTAAGTGAGTTGCCTCATCCAGAAACTGTCAGTGTAAAGGGAGAGATTAGACTTTCTTAAACCCTATCTGTTTTTTATTCCACATACCCTAGGAAATACAGAGTGATTTCTAAAAGCCCTAATTGTTTCCAAAGAAGGGCTTCTCTGCCTTTTTGTTTGTAGGGTTAAAAAAAAAAAACACAAATAAACAAAAAACATGCTATTGCTGTGTCTTACAGAGCAAATGTCTGCCAACTCCTCATTTATAATATAAGTCTGAACTTTGGTAATATGTGTCTATGAAGATAAAGACTTCCTATTGAGGTGAATTCACATACTGAAATATAGTTACCTACCATATTTACTAGAGATTTATGAGATTAAATTAAGAGTTAATGTAAGAAAATAAGCTTTTTCGATTCTACATAACGCATTTTAGGGAACTAGAAATATTGTATGAAAATGTATAAATATCATCCAAAAAGGCTTTCTGCCCTATATTTTTAAAATACAGAATAGTTATATTTGAAATAGCTCTGGCCCTAGTTCTATAGGGCTTGGCTATTTAATATTTTTATGAAAGAAACATTTAGTTCTGGAAAGGTAAATGCTTGTATATATTTTTGCAGCCTGGGGTTTCCCTGCTCCATTTCTTCCTTTAATTTAAATGGTCACATGTGTATGTCTTCCCTGCTGTATTAGGAAAATGGGGGCTGGATATCCCAAGAATCAGAGGTTATATAAAAATAGTACAGACAGCAGACATAAATATCTACCAAATGCTATCTTAAATTTTGGTCCAAAATAAATATTTGGAAATAGATTTATTGTAAGTGTTCAATTAGAACTTTTTCTTAAATCTGAAGTAAATTGCTTTTAAGGTCCTTTTTCTTTGTAAGCATTGTAAATGCTAATAAATCCTGTTAATTTTTTTTAACTGCATGTTACATCGAAATAAAAACAAAGTAAAATGAGCAATTGCCTTATTCTTCTGCTCTTTTGGTGGGATGGGGAAGGCAGCATTCCACAGCCTGGATCAAGAGGGAAGGACCTCACTTGTTTCATCAAATGGGATGTTTTAAAAATGATCTAGCAGCTCCTAATAATGAATTCTTGCTCTTTTATAATCTTAAAGTGCAAAAGAATCTAATTTCCTAAGACTTACAATAACTCTATTTAAAATTCAGGTACTGATTTTTCATCAAGGGATTGACATGCCAATGTCAACTCATCAGAAATTTTAGTGAAATGAGACTCAACTGCCCACAGAGGTCTCACCCTAAATGAACTATTTACTTACGTGGTTAATAATTTGAATTGTCACCAGCAATGACTCATGGAATTAGACTTTGCTTCCAATTTTATGTCCCTCATTTTGGATGTAAGTTTATCCTTCTAAACTCCTTTAGGGTTATCTACTTCTATTTAATGTATTATTGGTATCTCCAGCCCCCTTCCTTCTTTTTTTTTTTTTTTCTTCTTTTAGAGTTATTTATAAAATTGTTTGTATATATGCTTTCATTAACTAAGAACAGAATAGCAGTACTGAATTGTATATTACTGTATTGGAGTACCTTTGTTTTCTTGAACTGTAATTTCAAATACTCAGGTAACTCTGCAAATATTACAGGGAGTCAAGTGCTTTTTAAAGTTCCTTCAGGGGATTGCCTCACTTGCATTTCCTTAAAAAATACAAGACTGTGCTTACAATTAAACTTTTTTCATCCTTCATTTGCATACTTTTCTATTAATCTTGGGGAAAAAAGATGTTCTCTCCTGCAGAAAAAAAAAAAAAAAAACCAAAAACCACCTTTCTGTGTGATTGCTTTTATAGTGGCAAGTTAGAGCCTGTCTGTACTGTGGAGTGTATAGGAAAGAAACAGAAGATCCACTACTCCAGTGAGATTGGATTTGGTTCCTGTGTTGAAGATATCTGCAGGGGCCACTGACAAAAATCAGGGTCCCTATCTGAATTACTTTTCTGAAATAACAAAAAGTGTCTAAGCCAGATCCTAGCATAAGTGTTGAGTAGAGAACCAGCAGCTAGCTACCAAGACCAACTGTTCTTCACAAGCTGGTCTGCTCACCAGCTTTAATAAATCACCTTTTTTAGAAAAAGATAATTGTGGTCTCCCTTAAAATGAAACCAGTGGCCAGGTGCCAGTGGCTCAACCCTGTAATCTTAGCTACTCGAGAGGAAGAGACCAGGAGGATCAAGGTTTGAAGCCATTCTGGGCAAATAGTTTGAGATACCCTATCTCAAAAAATATGCAACACAGGGCTGGGATGTAGCTCGGTGGTACAGCGCTTGCCTAGCATGCGTGAGGCCCTGGGTTCGATCCCAGCACCAAAAAAGAAAAGACAAAAAAAAA